CGTAACTTAATACCGCGTCGAAATCTGTTTCATTTTTATTACCTAAGATCTACGTTCCGTTAAGTTAAGTGAAGTTCCCATAATCAGGCTTTCTGTGTCCGTTTTAAAGTCGATCCTTCTCTTATTAGGGGTGTTCGTAATGTGTAACATTTTCAAAATATAGCGTTTATTATTGTCCTTTTCTTCTTGTAGAATGACAACATTATCGAAATCGGGATCGGGCCTCGAGCTTGTTAAAAAATGATAATTAATTCAAAATTCTAAGGTCAACAACAAAAACAAAATATGTTATGGCGGAGAGCACACCGAAAACACAAAGATGTGTCAAAAGTCTACAGAAATATTAAGGATAATTATGATATAAACACCAGCAAACGTTTCAAAAACTACCAAAGCATAACACAACACATCACAAAGCTGTCGGAGTCGACGAAGTACTTGGAGAGGTGTAGGACAACCTGTTTAACTCCCAACTTCATCGACAACGCTACGAAAAATATACTTTACATAATCAACAATAATACCAGTAACAAAGCATTACCAACAAAAATCACCAATTCAGTTTCCAAATTCATCTGACAGGTTCAAACCTAACTACTAAGCCTACTCATCAAAGTCAAACATGAGCTGCTTGGAAAAAAGGAAAAGGAGGTAAATTTCCTAAAGACGCAAATAAATCAGCAACTAAACACACTTGACTCCACAACATTTTTTGAAAGTGAAAATCTACTAACAAAAAAACTTGCTGCAAATATTAAGAAGACAAAAACAAACAAATACGAAAAATTAAAAGACAAACAAAAACAAGTTTTAAACATAAAGAGTGTACCAGGGTGGTTCTGCAACACGTCAAATACGCAAATTATTAATGACATTCAGTGGATTCTTTCTCTTGGTCCTAAATTTGCCTTACCATCAAGTAATAAAGAATTTCCATTATTTAAATTTATAGCAGATGGGGAAAACTGCCTTCAAACAATTAAGGATAAATAAACACAAGAAATTGAAAGAAACAACTTGACGACACTAATACGTGACCATCTCAATAAGAGAACAGAATCAACGAGAGATAAGTTTATTCGCGATACTGTACATTCCACAAAAACATTTTTAAAGAACAATAAACACCTTCCAGTTCTTAATGCCGATAAAGGGAACGTAACCGTAGTTATGAACAAGTCCGAGTACGATACAAAGATGCAGTCAATCGTCAACAACATCTGCACTTACAGAACAACAAGTAAATTACAAGACAAAAATAATAAAATAGTGGAGAGATTATATAATAACAAGGCCATTGATTTAAAAGAAAAGAACAAGGTTATTAGTAAAACAGCCAATCCACCAAGAATCTATGGTTTACCAAAAATACATAAAGAAGGGATACCCCTCAGACCCATTTCCGCATCCATCAAGTCCCCGTCCTACAATTTGGCAAATACGTTGTCAATATCCTTAGAAACATTACAAAATCTTCCAATTACAATGTTAAAGACGCGATCGATTACACTATGCGACAGTCAAAATCGGGATGGGATGAAACCAACGGGAAATGTTATATCGGTCAAAAACAAGTTATACGTGTCCCGGCGTTTCGCTGGGTCACGTCTAGGAATCGAGATATATATATAACTATCATATAGGGGAAATTGTCACCTTTGGTGGTATTTTTTTGACATAACTCGAGAACCACTAATCCGATTTTGCTCAAACAAATTTAAAAAAATTAAAAATTACAATTCCTTTAATCTGCTCATATAACGTTTTTCTATATAATCAACAGTTTTGCCGGTAAAAATAAATGTATGAAGAAAAAAAATATTTTTTGCTTAAATATAAAATTTTTTTAAAACTAGAAATAGACATATCTGGACACCCTACTTATCAGGAAGAACAACCGATTAAAAATTTACTGGTATGCAAAACCTACGTCGTCGGGGAGAATAATTAATTATAATTCGAAATTTGAGAGAAAAACTATTTTAAATACCGCAACCAATTTTATTAGAAGAGTCCTCACTATTAGCGACAAACATTTTCATAAAAAGAACAAAAATATCATCCAACAAATTTTGAAACAGAACGAATTTCCCTCCTGCTTAATTAGGAAACGCATTCAGAATTATTACGTCAGGACCGACAAAGAAAATACTTATATTGAGAATAAAGTATACGAATGCGCTACATATGTTCCGGGGATATCTGAGAGGATTAAACATTCTAATATATATACATGCAGCTACACACTAGGAAAAATGTATAGCAACACTAAAGGCCAGTTTTTCAGTGCGAGTTTAACTCTGTTTGTCGTTTAAACTAAGTTTAAACTTAGTATGCAGTTTTTCAGTCAACTTTAAACTGAGTTAAACGGCAGATCTGGCAGGGTTAAACTTAGTTTAACCTATCAGCTGTTTGCTGATTCGTTTATTTTGGTTGCAAAAAATTAATTGAACGCAAGGTCTTGTAATTTAATTTTTACTTAAAAAATGGATATTTCCTCTGACGAAAGTGATTATAGTGACGCGGCAGTAAGTGAAATACTTACGATTAATATACTGAGGAGAAAAAGAGTCATATGTACTCACCCGAATCATTTTAATATTTTTGATGAAAAAGATTTTTTAAACGCTTTCGCCTGACAAAAGCATCCGCTTACAGCATTTTGGAGCTTATCGGAGAGCACATCAGGCACCCGACAAATTGGTAGGCATTTATATTTTTAAATAATTCAAAATATTAAATTCTAGGTACTTTAGGAATCACGCATTGACAGAGGAACAAATGCTACTTATTACCCTACGGGTATATGCATCTGGTGGAATGCTTCAAACAATTGGCGATTTGTTCGGAATATCGAAGTCAAAGTTGTCTAAAGTGGTAACGTTGGTGTCACGCCATATAGCTCTGCTGAGGGCTCGTTTCATTAAATTCTCAGAAAGCGATACGGAGAAACTTGAAACCTATAAAGGATTCTTCAAAATTGCTAAGTTTCCCACAGTGATAGCGGCTTTGGATTGCACCCACATAAAGATAATTTCGCCAGGTAATAACTTTTATTAAACTATTTCCGCAATTATACTGATGTACATAATTCCTTTGTAGGTGGCGAAAACCCGGAGCTATATCGGAATAAAAAGGGATTCTTTTCCATCAACGTTCAAACCACATGTAACGCTAGCCTTAAAATAACAAATATTGTGGCTCGCTGGCCAGGTTCTGCTCATGATTCAAACATATTAAGGAATTCTAGGATGAACTCACGCTTTGCAAGCGGTGATTTCGGTGACAGTTTAATTATTGCAGATAGTGGATATCCGAACAACAAATTATTCATTTCATCACAAAAATTAAAAAAAAAATTCCTCAAAACTAAAAATCAAAATAAAACTTCTAAAACCCTATTCCTAATTCCTTTTTCTTAAGCTGAATTTGTAACTTCAGCATCTCTATTTCTAATTCCATTTTTTGGACATGTAGTTCGTGCTCCTGTTTTTTGAAGTCAATTTCCATTTAAAGCTTTTTTTTTGAAGTTCATGCTCTTCGACTATGCATTTCATATGCAACTCGCACTTTTTTGCCTTTTTTGAGGAAATATCAGCCCAGGAGTCCGTAGCAGAGTTCCTTTTTCGAGCCTTCAAAGTGGTGTGTGCCGGTTTTCGCAGATTGGCTGGGGTATATTTCTGCCACGAAATGTCTTGAGGTTTGTCTATTGAAAAATTATGTATTTAAACACAAAACATTTACATACATAAATATTTTGCTAATTTGTATTTACCTAATGTCTGCTCTAGTTCAGAGCTACAATTTTCAGTGGGGGATGCGGATAAATCTTCTTCCATCTCCGCTGAAACTTCCACAAGGCAAGTTTCTTCTAAAGTACAATTTAGAGGTGGAGAAAACATCGTGGCACTGTCGATGTATCGATGTTTTTGCATTTTTGCTAAACATCGATGGTTGATGGCGAC